GGTCCCCCCGCGAGTGCACGCCGCCGCCGCCGCCCCCCACCCCCGTGCGGCCGCGAGGAGCAGCGCGGGGCCGGCGATCGCAGGTAACGAGCGTGGGGCCGGGCGGCCGTCCTCGCCGCGGCCGCCCGCGGCTCAGCATTGTCGCCGGGCTGCGGCGGCGCGGCGGCGGCGCGGGGGTCGCCCGGCGCCGGGTCCTCCGCGGGCCCCCGCCCGCCACTCACACCCAGCGCGGGGTGATCCGCGGCCGCAGCGCCAGCCCGGGCCGCGGGAGGGGCCCCGAGGGGCGCGGAGTTGGGTCTCCAAAGTAAGTTCATTAAAGACGAAACAAAGTTTCTGCGGGATCCGCCGATCGCCTGCCTTGGACGCGAGCACACGTCGGCGTCGGCGTCGGGGTCGGCGTCGGCGCGGGCCGGGGCGGGCGGTCCGCGTCCCCGCCGCCGAGACGACCCTGTCCGTGCCATCTGGGAACCCGCTCTGGCAGGCGGGGGGGGATCCCCGCCTCCCCTCCCCGTCCCCCTCCCCGTCCCCCTCCCCGTCTGTTTCCTCCCCAGGGCCCGGGCCGCGGCGTTCGCCGTGGAGTTTGGCGGGGGCAGCGGGCCCAGCGTCGCGTAACTGTGCGGCGATCAGTTCGAAACCCGTGGCAAAGCCGTGGGTCCGGGGACCCCGTGTGAACCCCCGCCCCTCCTCCCTCCCGCCCTGACACCCCGAAACTGGGGTGACTTCCAGAGAGGGGAGAGGGGGGTGGTGTTATTTATTTATTTATTTGGGAGTCGAGGGCAGCAAGAATAATTTCTTTTTATCACATTTTTATTCTTATTGGGGCACGTTGTGCCCCAGGAGAAACGATCCGGGATTAGCCAGCCCAGAGGGCTGGAGAGACTCTTTCCTTCCTTCCTTCCTTCCTTCCTTCCTTCCTTCCTTCCTTCCTTCCTTCCTTCCTTCCTTCCTTCCTCCTTCCTTCCTTCTTTCCTTCTTCCTTCCTTCCTTCCTTCTTTCCTTCTTCCTTCCTTCCTTCCTTCCTTCCTTCCTTCCTTCCTTCCTTCCTTCCTTCCTTCCTTCCTTCTTCCTCCCTTCCTTCCTTCTTTCTTTCCCGTTCTTGTGTCTCTACTCTGAGAATGGCTCGGGGAGGTAATGATCCTGGGGGAAGTGTGTGTCGTCGTTGTTGTTGTTGATAGCCGTGGGGGTCATTAATGGGTTTGGACGGGTTGCTGGGCTGCTCACCTGAGCGGAGCAGCTGGGACCCCGTGGCAAACCGCGAGAGTCTGGGTCTGGTGGGAAGGAGGAGGAGGGAAGGAGGAATTCCTCCCCCGCGGCGGCCCGGGCGGGCGGTGCGTCTGGCTCATTGAGAAACAGGGGGATCGCCTTCCTTGGGCTCTGGGAAGAGATCCTGTGATTTCCTTTTGTTCCCTGGTTTTTCATTGATCGGGCAGCTCTAGCCCCAGAGAGGGTGCCCAGCTCTGAAGACAAGCACAGACACCCACCCACCCCAGCTCCAACTCTCTGATTGGTTGATCAGATTGAGACTTAGGCAGTCACCCCCCAAAATCTCCTTTTAATTTCAGATCAGCCTTCTCCTTGGCGGGGCTTTCTGCAAGATTGCTTTTTTTTTTTTTTTTAATCCCGGTTGCATTTTGCTCTAGAGGCATTTTTTTTTAATGTATGTGTGTTTAATGTTTGTTATTGTTTCTCTCCAGATCAAGTAGGCCATTTTGGTGACAAATTTCTTTGCAGACGTCAGCCACTAGCTTACCATTGATAGACGGTTAGCACGCTTGCCATACCTGCTCGATGATTTCCACTCCTCCAGTGGCAGAGTGCAAGTTGTTTAACTTAGAATTATTATTAATCTTTTTTTTTCTCTAACTGCTGTTTGATCAGAGTATTTCAATAGCAACATCAGCAGATGGGTGCTTAACTGTGTCATTACTTTGGTAATTTAAGTGTTTTGACCATTAGCATGTTCCACACACTAAATCTAAGCCTTGCAGACAGGGAAAGAAAAAAAGACAATGAAAAGCGAACAATCAAAAAAACGAGCTTGCCCACTGTTAGAAGAATCTGCCTTGAGCTGCACGCATTTCACTTCCAAGCAAAAGGGCGATGTTGTACATTTAAGGCTTGCGAATAGAAGAGACGCTGTGAAATGTGATAGCTGGACACCACCATGTAAAGCCTTAAACAAAATGTAAGCCTTTAAGTGCTTTATTAAAGAGACACAGTCCTAGAAGTTGTTAAACCTATAAGCACTTTTCTGATTGGTTAAAAAAAATTTTAGACACAGGAAGTGGATGGTATCTAATAACCCAGGAGTGGAGAAGTGGTTGTCATGGAAACTGAGAAGAGTAACCCCACTCCACCCCCACCCCCACCACACGTACCTATACTACCCTGACCACCACTTAAAAAAATAAAACAAAAATCCAGCATCCCAGATGTTGGGGGAACAGGCTGCTCTAAAAGCTTTCCCACAACATTGAAACCTGAGACTGTACCTGTCAAAGCAATGTCATTTTACAACAACAATCCCCCAAAAATGCAGCCTCTTGGATTTTGTAACTGTGTTTATCACATTTTTTTTAATTGAAAATCATCCAGAATCGGGGTTCAGTGGCTCATGCCTGTAATCTCAGCTACTCAGGAGGCTGAGATCTGAGGCTTGTGGTTCAAAGCCAGCCTGGGCACGAAAGTGTGTGATACTCTTTATCTCCAGTTAATCAGCAAAGACAGAGAAGTGGAGCTGTGGCTCAAGTGGTAGAGTGTAAGCCTTAAGTGAAAAAGCTCCAAGACAGCACCCAGGCCCTGAGTTCAAGCCCCAGGACCAGCAACAACAACAACAAAAGGAGTTTAGGGAATGCCTGAAAGCCAGGACAAACACTGGAGCTTATTTTATTTTATTTTGCCACATTTGAGTTGTGCAGGGGGGAGGCTGGGGAGAATGTACCTGTACTATTCTCATAGTAGACATACAAATCAGTGTGATTCCAGAATTACTCAATTCTGGAATCACACTGATTTGTATGTCTACTATGAGAATTCTCCTGTGAGCCACCAAGATTCAAATGTCACCTGTGAACGGGGAAGGGATGGTGGATCATTTCTGTTTGCCAGAGGGTTCAAAGTTGAGCAGCAGCAATGCAATTGAAAGACCCCAGTTTGTGTTGGATCCTATTCTAAAGCCTCAAACTGTGTGTGAGGGTGGGGGCTAAGCCATCTAGCGCTTTCTGGGGTAGAATGATGGTGTTCTTGGTAGCTGAGGAGTGAAAGAAAAACAAAACAAAACAACAACTTCTAAATGGAAATTAAAAAAAAAAAAAGAAAGAAACTTTTCAAAACTGCAAATGCTATTATTTGGTTGATTTGGAAAACTATTTTTCTTTTTTTGGATGGGGTAGAATGTTTTCATTTTTAGAATATTTTGGAGTTTTTTAAAACCAGAGTGGAAAATATTTCTACTATGTTCATAATAATGATGACAAGAAGAGAGAAGAGTTCCGACACCTCCCTGTCACCCGCCCCCTCCTGTGGAAAATCACTGAGTCGCCATTCCCTAAACTTGAACTTTAAAGCTCATCTTAGCCAAGCTCTAGTGGCTCATGTTTGTTATCCTAGCTACTCTGGAGGCTGAGACTAGAGGATCAAAGTTTGAAGCCAGCCCAGACAGATCTTATCTCCAACTGACAGGCGTAAAGCGGAGGTATGATTCAAGTGGTGGAGCTCCAGTTTTGAGTAGAAAAAACTAAGAATGAGAGGCCCTGAGTTCAAGATTAAGTACCATCTCACATATACACATAAAAAGCTTTCTCATCAGTACAAAGCCAATACATTTATTATAGTTTTCTCTTCTTGTCCATAGTAGTCTTTAACTATTATGTTCCCGATATTCATTTAGAAAAAAAAAAGCCCCCAAACGTCCTTCCAGTTGTGGTAATTTATCATAGCCTTGCTTGAAGTTGATTGAAAATGGTCAGTGTTTAAACTTACTCAAATTACAGTTTGATCTTAAAGAGCATCGGATTTCTGTTTTCATCAACTGATTTGGGAAGGGAGGAAGTAGAAGAATTCCTGTTTTAATGTTAATTTGCTAACCTGTGTGTCATGCAAGGACTTTCATGTCACTTGGGTGGTTTTATATAGATTTCAAAATTCTAAATGATCAAATGTGGGGTGAAAGAGGTAATATTGAATGCCACAAGCAGTCTCGTAGCAAAGGATTTCCTGCAGGGAGCTTTCTTATCTGTGGGTATGTTCATTCGCAGGAAACATGTCAGTTGCCTGTTTTTACAAACTGAAGGAAATGAATGGGATTTGTTGGTTTCTAGAACCTTCCTTCTCCAGGGTCTGTCACAGAGTTTGCTCAGAACACTTCATTGAGAGGGACTTTTGAGGAATATAATTAATTCACTTCTGCTTATCTCTTTTTTGACTTTGGAATTAGAAAAAATCCTTACACTACCACAGACTACTTCTTTTACCAATACAAATTAACAAGATGTTCAGTGCAATTCCAATTCATTTTCATTTGTCAGATCGTTACTCATGTAGTCATTGAAGCTGGCATTTTTTGATAGCGATGCCAAATTTTGAATAATTATTCCAAAATAACAACCAAATGCCAGTCTCAATTTTGAATTAATGCAGGAAAGCAAAGGGAATGAGACAGCTTCATTCTCCTCCCCGATTCTAAGAAAACGGTCCATAAAGAATACATGTCAGCCAGATGCTCGGTAGCTCATGTCTGTAATCCTTGCTACTCAGGAAGCTGAGATCTGAGGATGGAGATTCAAAGCCAGCCTGGGCAGGGAAGTCCCCGAGAGTCTTATCTCCAATTAATCACTAGAAAATCCGAGTGGAGCTGTGGCTCTCGGCGATAGGGCACTAGAGCACAAACGCTCAGGGACTGAGCCCAGGCTTGGAGTTCAAGCCCAGGACTGGCCAAAATAATAATAATAATAATAATAATAAATAGTTGTCAGATATAGGGTAATGTTATTGCCCTAGCCAAAGGTGAGAGAGAAGGACAGCCAAAGCCAGCCCTGAGAACATTGAAAAAAACCAACCTTAACTTCAAAAGCATTGACTGCTT